TAGTGACTGATTGAAATTACAACGGCACTGGAAAAATTGATTTAGGACTGTTTTGCACAGTGGTGGGATTCAAATAGGTGAACAACCAGTTCTCTGCATCGATGCCACTTCCGGAAGTTAATTCTGGGCCTGGGCAACAAAAAATTAGCTACCGATTCTGCTGAAGTGGTGCAAACCGGCTGAATCCCACCACTGTATCTATCTCTATCTCTATCTCTATCTCTATCTCTATCTATCATCTATCATCTATCTATCTATCTATCTATCTATCTATCTATCTATCTATCTATCCAGTGATGGGATTCAAATATGTGAACAACTGGTTCTCTGAGTGGGTGCCACTTCCGGAAGTCCATTCTGGACCTGGGCAACAAAAAATTAGCTACCGATTCTGCCGAAGTGGTACAAAACAGCTGAATCCCACCACTGGTTTTGCACACTTATGACCATTGCAGCATCCCCATGGTCATGTGATCAAAATTCAGATGCACGGCAACGGACTCATATTTATGATGGTCGCAGTGTCCTGGGATCATGCAATCCCCTTTTGTGACCTTCAGACAAGCAAGGTCAATGGGGAAGCCATATTCACTTAACAACCGTGTTACTAACTTTAGCAGCTGCAGTGATTCACTTAACAACTGTGGCAAGAAAGGTAATAAGATGGGGCAAAGCTCACTTAATAACTCTGTCACTTAGCAATGGGAATTTTGGTCGTAAATCAAGGACTAACTATGCACCACTGAGAACAGCTTTGGAGAACTATAAGGCATTCAAAACAACTTTTGAAAAGCACTCCCAGAACCAGTTCAGATCAATCTGATAAAGAGGCAGGATGAGGCAGGGAGCAGTTGATTTAATGCTGAAAAATGAATGACTAGAGATTAAACCTGGGTGTCACTCAGCCTCCGACTAAGCATATTGCTTTATACGGAAGACATATTGCTGGCTGGGTTGATTGAACTGTTGATTATTCAAGAGTTGGAAGATTCTGTGCTAGCTAAGCATTTGTCCCTCTGCACAGTTAACGTAAGCGGATACACACATGACTTTGCTGTCTGCATGAAAGTTTCATGGTGGACTTAATTACAGTTCACACATGAATATTTATCACTTGATAATTAGAGCATCCAGTGAAGATTTAATGAACGGCAGAGGTATGTATAATACTATCTCATATCCTCTAAAGCAGTTGAGCCAATCCACCCATTCATTAAAAAGTAATTTGCAGTTCGTGCATGCACTTTGTTCAAGTGTCAGTTGTCAACAGATTTCTCTATCACCTCTCTTGGGGTTAGTGGAAACTCTGATTGACATGTATGTGACCCGTGACCAGTAATCCACTCTTGATTGCAAATGGCTCCCATGTGCCATTATTGTGTCAACACAAATCCCCCCCATAACGAGAATCAGAATGACACGTGTGTATTAGCCCCATACAGAAATGATGCCCACGTATATCAAGCATAGAAACTAGGCAATACCACATTTTTTTTTAAAAAAAATGATGCATTGACTATAACTGGAATGTATTATAATGTGTTATGCTGCAAATTCCCTGATTAAAGCATAATATGACTCATTTTCATGTATTATGTATTTATCCTAATTCAGCCTATATGGCAAGTTGTAAGCAGTACAGTTCAGCATATGCAGGGATACAGAGTAATTAGAGAACAGACTTACTTATTTAATTACATTTAATATTATATGGGAAACCAACACAACATAGAACAACAGAGTACAGGATGAAGCAATACTTGGCCAGCAATAAGTGGAACAAGAGGGTAAGTTTCTGTTTATTTATTTAATGTTATTATAGTTTATTATTTGTTTATTGACTCCTCCTGATTTTGAATAAAATTTGGGGCTTTGTGGGACTATATATGAGTTATGGTGGCGCAGTGGTTTGAATGCAGTACTGCAGACTAATTCACTACTCACTGTCAGGAGTTCAATCCTGACCGGCTCAAGGTTGACTCAGCCTTCCTTGCTTCTGAGGTCGGTAAAATGAGGACGCAGATTGTTGGGGGTAAATAGGCTGACTCTATAAACTGCTTAGAGAGGGCTTTAAAGCACTGTGAAGTGGTATATAAGTCTAAGTGCTATTACTATTGCTATTGCTGGCTAACTCTGCCCACAGCCAGGAGTTCAATCCTGACTGGCTCAAGGTTGACTCAGCCTTCCATCCTTCTGAGGTTGGTAAAATGAGGACCCAGATTGTTGGGGGCGATATGCTGACCCTGTCAACCGCTTAAAGAGGGCTGTAAAGCACTGTGAAGCTATATACAAATCTAAGTGCTATTGCTATAGCTCAGCTTTCCTTATTTTTGGAGCGTGATGATTTTCCAGCTAGGTTTTTTGAGTTCTTCTTGCAGGTGTAGGTGGGTGGGTGGGTATTAAGGATAGGAATGGAAATGATAGGCTGATAGCACAAATCACTCTAAAAAAGGTAGAGGTTTCCCTTGCCCACTTGTGTCCGACTCTAGGGGCCGGTATTCATCTCTGTTTCTTGGCTGATGATACTTCTGTGGTCATGCGGCCAGCATGATTATATGCTGATGTCCACAGAATGCTGTTCTGTGGGAAAGCACAGGTGCCTTCCCACCAAATTGATACCTATTAATCTACTCACATTTGCATGCTTTTGAACTACTAGGTCAGTAGTGGCGAACCTATTGCACGGGTGCCAGAGGCGGCACTCAGAGCCCTCTCTGTGGGCACATGCACCGTTGCCCCAGTCCTAGGCCTTCAGCTGGGTTTTATAAAACCTTTTTGCTTTAGGCCTCCGCTGCCATGGGCAAAAAAAAAAAAAAGGTTCAATCAATCAGTCAATTTCAACTTCTTGCGGGGAAAAAAAGATCTTGCAAAGTTGGAATTGATTGATTGAACTTTTTAGCCCCACCCAGTCTGCCATTACCACAGCCACGCCCACCCAATTGGCCACACCCAGCCAATGGGCCACACCCACCTGGCACCCAACGATGCATAAGTGAGTTTTGGGTTGCAGTTTGGGCACTCGGTCTCTAAAAGGTTCGCCATCACTGTACTAGGTTGACAGGAGTATGAAACAAGGAACGGGAGCTCACTCCGTCATCCCGTACTTGGGTCTCAAACTGCCAACCTTCCAGTTGACAAGCCCAATGTCTTGACCCAATAACTCCTAAATGCCAAAACCTAGTTGTAATCACCTCCCTAAACAGCAAATTGACAACTTGAGTTGTGGTTGATGGATGGAACTGTTTGGTTTGTTTAGCAAAGTTTTCCTAAATGTTTACCTATCTTTTAATTTGTAAAACAACACAAAACACATACAAATCTGGCCATTTTCCACTGACGTTTCTACATTACAGCCACAGAATCCTGTAAAGTGTCATATGAAGCTATGTTCTGGAGATATCAATCACCTACAGAGAAGAAGAATCCTTGGTGGGTCCATGGGGCCTTAGAGACCTTTCTCTTGACTCTATTCTTCTGCCCTTCAAAGTAATCCCTGCCTTTTCCATTTCTGATCTAACCTGCCCTTCCTGCCATAAACTTCCCAAAACTATTTTCTGCGTCTTATCCTTGCTTTATTAATTCTGCAATTTTCTCCTTCCACATTCTCAATTCCTGTCTCTTTCTCCCCAACCTTCTCTTGCTGCATCTCAGTTTCTTCCAGAAGAGACTTCACACTTCCTCTTTCTCCCCCCCCCCAAAATTGCTTCTTTCTGTTTCGACATCTCCACTGGACAAAGAGTTGACTGCCTAATCCAAATGAGAAATGGCAGTCTTAGAGAGAGATAGCAAACTGTTCTTCTAGGAGGGATACCTCCAAGACGCAAGGCTATAATGGCCTGAAGCAAATGGAAGAGAGAATATAGAATCCTAACTGTGATGTTTCTTTTGGAAAGTGGACCAAAAAAAATGCAGTGGGTATGTCAGCATTAAAACTGTGCTTCAAGGAAACCACGTTTTGCCTCCCTGGGGTGTAGCTTTCCTAAAGTGCAAGGACACATTTTATCTGCTCCCAAGTGGGAACATGTTGAAATTTACAGGAAGTCCAGCAGTTGTTCCTTTAATTCCAATCTGATAATTATTTCTTTCCTCAAACCTCTGTCAGGCTAACCTTCTGGACCTAGAAGAAGCTCATTTGTGAGCACAGGATAATCAGTTCCATCTATCAGTTAAAGTTATCCTTAAGCAAACAGAAAACTATTTGGCACAGAAGTTAAATAATTATTAGCAAGGGATCAGGATGTGATTACAATGTGACTTTGAGATGAAACAGATGTGATGGGAATCAGAATCATCCATATCTGGAAGGCTTCTAGAAAACAGGAGGCATCTCACCATCCTTCATCTTACCAGCATCAGGGGTGGTGGTACGGTGAGTGGAGGATAGGATGTGGGGAAAAACGGGGGGGGGGGAAACAACCATTTTAATTAATAGACATGATTTCTGAGAGATATTATGTGCTTGCAAATGGCTGTAGCCCTATCATTACAATAGCTGATATGATATAGAATGAGGGGGCAATATAATGTGGAAAAATAAGGGAAAAACAGAATATATAGCATTTGAGATTAGCAGAATTTCCCCTCCCCCCCCACACACCATTCTCTACAAAATTGTGCTTTATTGAAGGTGTGTTTGGGAAGGGGAGCAAATGGCTTATTGGCCATGCCTTCTGGTAATTTGCTTATCCCCCCCCCCTCCAGCATTAGCATAGACTGTCAAGGTTCCAATAGACAAGAGTTGACATAGACAATGCCATTTTGGCATTTGTCCAACATTTAAGAGATTTGTTCCCTCAGGAACCCCCCCTTTTTTTATTCAAAAACTGTTCCATTAACAATTAAGAAAGTGCTTTGTGATAGTCAGGAAAGAGAACCAATCAACGCACAGCACAAACTACCTTTGAAGGGGGGAAAAAAAAACAGAACTAGACTTGCTCAAGGGGTGTTATGCAAATCAAGAAAGTAGAAGAACCTGTTTTAGGAGTCTTCCTGTTCTACATCTGGTTTTAAGTGAAGAGACAGGCAATGGGATGGGTATGGAAGCAGAGTAACATATGAGCAAAGTATTCACAAGTCTCTTTTGCAGCAACAAGGACAAAGAAGTCAAACTTTGGAATCAGGTTTTGACAGAGGTGATTCAAGAGAATTGTCCATAAAGGGCTTAATTTAAGGGGAGTTAAAGATTAAGTATGATGTTTTTTTTTCTTTTTTCTTTCTTCTTTTCTTTTTTTTTATTATTGTTAACCTTATTAATAACCCTGTACTCTGCTCTGGGAAGCGAGGGGGGGAGGGTTGAGGGTGGGTGGGTGGGTGAGTGGGTGGGTAATGATAATATAGTCATGGTAAACACTTGGGCATTTCCCCTATGCTGGTTCATGTGTGTGAGAGGGATGAGAGGGGAGGAAGGAGTAGGGAGGAAGTAGGATGGTTAGAGGAGAAGGGGAGGGGAAGAGAGTAGGAGGGGAGGAGAGAAAGAGGAGGGAAGTAGGGAAGGTTTAGAGAGGGTGGATGCAGCCTGGGGGGAATGGGCAGGCGGTACCAATGGTTAGGAATTTATTTTAATTGTGTTTTGTATGAATAAATGGAAAATAAAAACTTTTTTTTTAATTAAAGAGAATTGTCCATAAAGGTGATACCTGCCACAACGTCTTTACAATATTTTAAAATAGGCAAAGTGTTAATAGACTGAAAGGCCTAGTTTCGTGTAGCAGTTAAGGCACCCGGCCAGAAACTGCAACTGCAAGATTTAATCTTGCCTTAAGCATGAGATCAACTGGGTGATTTTGGCCAGTCACTTTTTCTCAGGCCCAGGAAGAAGAAGGCAAAGGCAAAAGCTTTCTTAAAATCTTGCCAAAATAACTGCAGGGACTAGCCCAAGCAGTTGCCAGGCATCAAGATTTCTCAAAGGGATGTGTGCATGCACATACACACACTAGAACAGGGGTAGGCAACTTTGGCTCTTTGATGACTCGTGGATTTCAATTCCCAGAATTCCTGAGCCAGCTATGCTGGCTCAGGAATTCTGGGAATTGAAGTCCACGAGTCATCAAAGAGCCAAGGTTGCCTACCCCTGCACTAGAATGAGCAGAGCTGCTGCTACTACCATAGTATCGGTTGAAAGGAGGTGAATCCCACTTTGCAAAGAATGCCAAGCAGCCCGAGACGTAAGCTCTTCCCAATCCTGTTAATGTGAAAAGGAGGAGGAAGTGTACACTTTCCCATTGAAATGAATGGAACAAGTACATGGAACATATTATCATTTATGGTGGACATGCCCAGTTGCAAAAAAATGCTGGATTACAATAACAAAATGGATCGAAGAAATAATAGACCAACCCATAGACTGGAAACCAGAGATCTTTTTGTTGGGTATTTTAAACAGAAAATATAGTAAAGAAATGTGGTACTTAATTTTACATATAATAACGGTGGCAAGAATAGCATATGCACAGTGCTGGAAAAATGAGAATATACCATCAGAGGAAGAAGTGATAAGAAAAATCCTGGACTGTGCTGAGATGGACAAATTAACAAAAGAGATAAAAGAAAAGGAAGACACAGAGTACTATATAACATGGAACAAGTGGTACGACTGGTTGGAGACTAGAAATAATAGAGGAGAATAAATATGGAAAGGTCAAAAGTGAAAATATGTGTATAATAATGTATAATAATAATAATAATATGAATTATTCTTAGTAAGAAGTAGAATATGAAGGAAGAAAAATGTAAATAAGAAACAACGGGGCAATGAGGACAAATATTCTAAAGAAGAATAAGGGGGGAAATGTAAATAATAGAAGATTATTTTACGTAATTGCTGTAAAAAAAGGGAGAGGAGTATATACTGTGTGTGTATGTGTGTTATGTTTTGCTTTGTTTTGTTTTCTTGGTTTTAAAAAAATAAATTAAAAAAAAAGAAATGAATGGAACAAGCAGGAGTTTTAACTGTGGATAGATGCCATCCTAGGGAAAATTACAAGAATCCAGGATGAAGAGGAAAAAATGTGGAAATGTTCTTCCAGCAGTCATGATTATGAAAAGCAATAGGCTTGGTTTTAAACAAGTCCCGTTCTTCTGAAAACCTCAGCCCCGAACAAATCTTCCCAATAGGTCAGTTGGGTGCTGAGTTAGCCTTTTTTTTTCCCCCACAGAAGAATCACCCATATCCAGTGGTGGGATTCAAATAGGTGAACCACCGGTTCTCTGTTTGGATGCCGCTTCCAGAATTTCATTCTGGGCCTGGGCAAGAAAATATTAGCTACCGGTTCTGCCAAAGTGGTGAGAACCGGCTGAATCCCACCACTGCCCATATCGTATTCTTCATAAGAGGAACTAAATGCCACTGTTTGATGGCCTCTTCTTATGCAGTCGCGCCAAAAGGACTCACACTTTCTGGCACACATGTCATTATTATTCAGATCAGCCACCATAATCTGAGATTATCAGGCTGGTTCCCATGTGCATACTCCTTTTTTCTTTTGCTTACTGCTGCATAAAAGTAGCAACTTGCATAATCTGTAAACTGTTACTCCGAATATATGTGGGGAGCTGGTTTATCTCCACTAGCTTTGCATCCTGGACATTTATCATCTGTCTTCAAAACACTATGATGCCAAGCCTGTCTGTTCAGTCCTTCTCAGCTACGTACACCAAACATGCATGCAAGGAGGGACTTTGTCTAGGGAATGCAGAGGGTGCTTATCTAACTAAAGTCTGAATGTAGAGCAGCCTACCACATTAAGGAAGTTCTCATTCCACAAAGAAACTCTTCCAGGCTCCACAATGGAACCGCTCCTGTGAAAGCCATCACCAGATGAAAATCTAGCCACACTGCTGGTTCTCACTTAATTGAGTTTCCTTTGCTGCTTTCAGCCTGGGGTGTCTAAATGATGCATGATATGGCACAATATATCTAGCAGGCTGGCTTGATTTCCACGATGTACATCCATATTTTATGTAAATTGTGTCCATTGTTTTTTTCCTTTTTTTTTCAAGTATGCAGATGAGTGAGCAGCCCGGTTTTCTGACTTCCATCCAAGGTTGGCCTGTAGAGTTGAAGCCAATAAGGACTAAGTTCAGGACAAAAGGCTCTGAGGGTTAGCTGTAAGGTAATTATTTCTTGTCAGTGTCTTGGCTATTGATTTTGGGCCTTATCGGTGAACTTTTCTTCTTCAATTATTAGATTTCATTGTCTTTGCACATTTCCTTTGATGCACAATTAAGCTATACAGAAGCTTAATTGTCTAACCTTTGTTTACAGAGGACACAAAAACTTTTGAGACAAAGTCTTTCTCCTGTCACGTTCTTTCGCGTCCTCCGATATATTTATTTACTTTATTTGAAAAGGGGACAATAGATGGTGCGGGGGTTTCTTGGGCAAAATATAAATTGATTTCAGAATTTGGAAGGTGGTACTATGAAATATCTGTCTAAAAACTGAGACAGAGACAGTTACTTTTGACTGAGGAATTGAGGGGGGCAATTCCATTTTCACTCTTCTGAAGGAATTTTCCAAAGCATCAAAAGGCAAGACCAGAAACAATGTTTGGAAACTAACGAAGGAGAGAAGCAATCTAGAACAGTGGTTCTCAACCTTTTTAATGCCGCGACCCCCAACCGGTCGTGAGTCGAGGACTACTCAACTGGTGCAGCACCGTTTGCAGAATGGGACTTTTGGCGGGCTCAGCAGGTTAGAGACAGCCTGGACAATTCTTATTGGCTTTTGAAAGCCAATAGAATTAGACTCTATTCAAGAGAGTCTATTCTATTGGCTTTCCAAAGCCAATAGAATAAAAGGGAGTAGCACAGCTAAGGAAAAGGGGAAAAAAATGGCGGACTGCGTTGTTTGGAGACCCCATGAAATGGTCGTTCGACCCCAAATGGGGTCCCGACTCACAGGTTGAGAACTACTGATCTAGAGCTAAGGAGAATTTTCCTAACAGTGAGAGCAATAAACCAATGAAACAACTTGCCTTCAGAAGCTGTGGTCTTTCATCACTGGAGGCTTTCATAAAGAGATTGGACAACTATTTCTCTGAAATAGTATAGGGTCTCCTACATGGACTAGAAGACCTCCAAGGTCCAACTCTGTTATTCTATGTTATATGAATATTGGGGGCTATCCAGGGATATTGTGACAGCACTGGAAAGAGATCCAATGTGGCCAGTATATTTTTTTTGAATTTGAGGTGGGTTTTAGGAGCAGCGATGGGAGTAAGAGGCTCTCTGGAATCAAGATACTTTGAATTCCATTTTTAATCCTCCTTTTCTCCCCCCCATCCCAAAAAAAAAGACTAAAATGAAAGAGGCATATTTTGCACTTAACTTTCAACAGTGGAAGCTTGGGATGTGAAGGGGTCTTCACACTGTTTGCTGAAGCAGGCAAATATGACGATCAATTGCATGTTATTCATTTTTTTTTGTCTCAAGCGCAATGATTAAAATTCACATTCGTGGTCAGAAACGATACCCACGAAGCTATTGTTTAACATTTGCAGGAAATATAGCTCAGGGATTAGCAACCTGATCCAGAAGCCTTCACCTAAGCCCAATCATGCTTCCATGATAAAACACACGTTGGGACATTATGGAACAAGGTCTGCCCTTTGGACTTTGACTGGGACATTTCTCATTTGTATATAACATGACCTTTTGAGGCATGTTGCTCAAAATGGCTCTCTTCCTGGGGACGCTTATGGGCAGATGATTGCTGGAGAAACATCCCATTTTGACCCTTTTTCTGCGCGTGCCTGTCGAGATACTGGAAGATATAAAACAAAAGAGAGGCTTAGCTTAATGTGCTCATTGCATTAATAATTAAAACTGGCTCACATGCCTCTGTTAGACTTATTTAAGAACAAAACTATACTGAGGATCTGCCAAAAGAAATGAGAACTTGCTGCCAAATTTCAGTTGAGTACTCTTGGGACTTCCAGGCTGAAAGAACGGTGTGTGCGTGTGTGTGTGTGGGGGGGGGGTAATGTGTCTTCCAAAAGCTGCTTAGCTTTAGTTTGGGAAAAGGGCAGCCCCTGCAATGCATTGAGACAGGGTGGGGCAGTGGTTAGAATGGTTAGAAGCCAATACTGCAGGCTACCTCTGCTGACTGCCGACTACCTGCAGTTCGACAATTCAATTCTCAACAGGCTCAAGGTTAACTCAACCTTCTGAGGTCAATAAAATGAGGACCCAGATTGTTGGGGGCAATAGGCTGACTCTATAAACCACTTACGGAGGGTTGTAAAGCACTGTGAAGTGATATATAAGTCTAAATGGTATTGCTTCTAAGAGCTTCTAAACTTGGGCAAATGTTAATAAACATGCCACCATGGTACCAGTCACAATAAGACCTAGCCATGTCAGAAGGGAATTCAATTCCGTGCAAGATACGGGAGGCTTCTGAGAAGTGTGAGATTGCATAAAGAAATCCTGAGGATAAACGTTGCCTGGAATAGTTTTAGGCACACAGACATCAGGAATTGGATGATTCCTTACAAAAAGCAGGTGTTCAGCACATTTATCTGCAAGAACAGCTCCGAAAGTCATGCCACACGCATATAAATCATTGTTGCATGACACTGGCAGGAAATGCACGGTGGTGCCAGTCTGGAGCTCAGTTTAAACACTTTCTAGTTGAACAAGCAAGCCAGGTTGCTCATTCTTTTCTCTCCTCCCCCCATGAAGTCACATGACTCCAGGGAACGTTTTTGACTTTTGATCTGTATGCAGGAAGGTGTTGTTATATGCAGATACTCTGGAAGATATTACTTGACAGCTGAGAGTTGGCACCCTGTCACTCCTCTTTGCTGATTTGAACTGGGCTGGTTAGGAGTTTCCCTTCTCAGACCTTCTGCAGCCTTTTGTCCCATGGTGTGTGACCTCACTGATGCCCCTTCTTCTCCCTGTGGACCTGCTTAGCATTTCCTGAACTTGGCAATGCAGAAGACCAAACAACCTCAGCCAACTGACACCTTGCTCTCATCCTTTTGTAGGATGACTTCTCCCTGAGATGATCTGTTCATCCTACCAGTTCAACGAGGATAGAGTACATTCTTCATCTTTTATTTCTGTGAGGGAGATGGGCAGTGTCAACATTTGACAAATAAATAATGAATAAATTACCATTATTTAGCAAAAAACGATTACCCATTAAGGTTTGCAATTGGCAACCAGGAATTTCAAAGCCGCAATAAACTATTTTCCTGTGATTGTTACAGGGAAGACTAATTTCAGGTTACTTACACTGAGGAGATCCTCTGAACTTTTGTTTTTGTTTTTTTAACCACCATTGGGGTCTTTCTCAGTTCATCCAAAGCAGTGGTTCTCAACCTGTGGGTTGGGACCCCATTTGGGGTCGAACGACCATTTCATGGGGGTCGCCAAATAACACAGTCTGCCATTTTTTCCCCCTTTTCCTTAGCTGTGCTACTCCCTTTTATTCTATTGGCTTTTGAAAGCCAATAGAATAGACTCTCTTGAATAGAGTCTAATTCTATTGGCTTTCAAAAGCCAATAGGAATTGTCCAGGCTGTCTATGCCCTGCTGAGCCCACCAAAAGTCCCATTCTGCAAACGGTGCTGCACCAGTTGAGTAGTCCTCAACTTACGACCGGTTGAGTAGTCCTCGACTTATGACCGGTTGGGGGTCGCGGCATTAAAAAGGTTGAGAACCACTGATCCAAAGGCTTCTGAATTCCTCTTAGGGCTTCCCTGGACACATATGCATATATTTTTTAAATATATTTATATTTATTTAGAGATATGAAACTGGAATTTATAACAGGGCAACGGAAAAATAAGGCAAAACAATACACTTCACTTTCTTCCTGATTCTGGATTTGCTCTTTTATTGAATTACTATACTATAAGGTGGGATGAGTGATAAAATTGGTCCTGTAAAGATACAATAAGGGAAAAGAAACACAGCAGGAATTTTGCAATGTGTAGTTGTGTCTGTGGTTTACTGAAGAAATGAAGAAAGATAAAGTACACCGATGTACAAAGGATTAGCTATTAATCTGTTGTTTATTAGAAGTATAGGCATTTTTATTCCACAGTCCCAATATGTATTTTTCTGTTCAATTCTGTTAAAAGCTTTTAGTTTGTTCTTCTACCATCTTCTTAATTGTTTCTTCATAAATTGGGCGGCATTGGCAACCGGGGCAAAGAATTAGGACCGCAGGTTAAGTTCCAATCAAGCTGATTTATTGTTCATATCTCTATATAAAAAATCTAGTCAATTAATGGTCACCGTAAAGTGAATGGAATTCAAGATGGGCTGGACTTAAACGATTTATGGGAACATAGTGATTCCAGGCTGATTCCTCTCTTTACTCTGACCCCAGGCTCTGCCTGTTCTTCTCCTACATTGGGCACAATGGTGGTATCATGGAACCTTTTGAGAATCAAAACATTGTTTATTTCCAAGCTCCTGAGAGTGAATTTATTAGTGGTACTTGCAGGAGAAGATATTAGATGTCTTTTGTCTTGGAATGGCTCATTAATATGCTGAACATATGAACTTATATACTTAAATTAAATGTAGACTGACATTTCCGTTGGTGGTGATGGAATGCTCAGTGTAAAATTAGCTGGGATTAGTAAGCTTTCTATTTTATAAAAACCTGATCCTGAAAGAAATACTTTCTCATGAAAATTACTGGCTGTGGACCAAAAGGACTTGTAGGTGATCATGTTGCGGGGGTGGTGATGAAGAAAAATGCCCAATTTCTCTGTCTGGTACTCATTCATCATAATTTATGGAGAGGACTCTCAGCACTCAAGGTGACTATGGAAGAAACCTTAATGCCCATGCAAAATACAATACATGGTGTTTTGGAGATCAGCCAGTACATGTTCAAGATATCCATAGAATAAATCTCAGAACAGATAAAAGAATAGAAAAGTTCATCCCTTCTACTATCTACTCCATCATCATTACACTGTCATCATTTGTTCTTCTGATTTCTAGTGCAATCCAGTAACTCTGTTCTTGCAGTCAAGATCTACCAATTCCCATGATTTTTACTCCTAGGTTATGGGCAGAGAATCCCAGTCCAAAATGTATTCCTCCATTTTTTTAAAATTTTGCATACCGCTGTAGTCATGTAACA